TATTTACCCTTTTATTTATTTATTGAGACGTTCCAAGTGCCTGTGGTGCGTGCGGTGTACTTGTGTGTTTGAGATAAGCATTTGAGCGAAAAATGGTAATTATGGACGTGGATATTCGTTCGAGCATCGGACACCTGTTCGTATGCGCTATTCGTCCGAGCAGTTGTTGCGCATGCGCTGTTCATGTTGTATTACATAAATTTATGTAATATAACGCTTGTCTAGGGAGTCGCCAACTCTCTAACCGCTTTCTCAAAGCCCCTGAGCGGCCCTGGACCCCAGCCGCAAGTGTCATGGGTGTATGCAGGGGGGGGGAGTCGTGAGGGTCGTACGACCCCCCCAAAATTTAAAAGGTCCACATTTTTTCCAAAGACATTTTTTTCGAGGGCCTTTTTACAATGACATAAATGATAAGATCAGGTACCAGCAATGAGTCCAAAGACATTGCCAATTGCGTGACGTAAATCTATCCCAATTCCAGCATTCTGAACTGAGCCTTTTTTTTAACAAAATTTTGTTTCATAAAAGAGAGACAAAGACTGACAAAGACAAAGACAAGACAAGATAAAGACAAAAAGTTCAAAAAACTGAATCAGAAAACTTGTTTTTTAAACTGATAAATTTTTTTTTTAACAACATTTTTGGTTTTTAATTAAATTGTCAGGGGCGTGTACAGGGGGGGGTCCAGGGGGTCCGGACCCCCTGCTCGCGCAGAAAACGCATCTAAGGAGGTCTAATTTCAAAATTTTTCAGGGGGAGGGCCCCCCAGACCCCCCCGCCCCGCGTGCTACGAGTTTGGGTTACGGTTAGACCCCCCCCTTGGTATAAATCCTGTACACGCCCCTGTTTGTAATGACATTGTAATCACATCTGCTGCTATTGCATTGTGAAAAGGTCCAAAAAATTATGATCACGACCCACCCAGAAAAAATCCTGCGATACACCCCTGAGTGTGTGTGTTGTGCATGTGTGCATGTGTGTGTGTGTGTGTGTGTGTGTGTGTGTGTGTGTGTGTGGTGTGTGTGTGTGTGTGTGTGTGTGTGTGTGTGTGTGTGTGACGTGTGTGTGTGCGCGCGCCCGCGAGTGTGTATTACTATTAGGTACTGTCAACTGAGTACTGTGCTTGTGTCGTGTGTATATTTGAGGAAACAGCCCTGGAGAAAAGTCGCCTCTGGAAAGTGGAACAAGAGCCCTGGAAAATGAAAAAGTTGCTCCCGAAATTTTGGGGGATTTGAAAAAAGAGCCCCGGAAAAACTTTTTTTCACTGGTTCCAACTTCCAAGTGCCGAGTGGTGGGCTGTGGTACTTACCGTTAGCGGATGCATGTCGGATCGCGGCAGATATAGCTCCAAAACGCCACCAGTAACATCTCGAGTTGTTGTGGCGCTTTGCTGAGCCGACTACTTTGTCGCCAGCAAGTAGAATCGCGTCAGTGTTGTACCGCCGACATCAACTCCTACAATAACCGGCACCGCCATGGCGCAATACCACTTTTTTATGCAGATTTCTGTGTATCATCAACTGATGCACAGACTCTCCGAAAAAAAAATTCACAAATCATTTACCTGCCCACATAGCCATGCTAAAAGCGCACCTATTTTTTTTTTTTTTTTATATTTATTTATTTATTTATTTATTTAGGCAATTATCCATCATATACAATACATTGCATACTTTTACAATAAAAATTTGAATTCATAAATTGGATAATTACCAAGGATATATACACAAAAAGCATGACTAGCACACTTATTTACATTGTGGTCCTTGTTTTGCTATGCCTTAATTGAATCTAACAATTGTACTACTTAGTAACTATCAGAACAAACTATTGAAATATACAGATTTGTAGTTTTAATCTGTCATATACAATGGTACATTTTACAAGACGATACAAACTTTTCTATGCCTAATTCAACCGAATTCTTTTAGTGAAAACATACTCCTCTGCCTCTAATTATTCTACCTTTTCCATCAGACATTTCTTAACACTATATTAAAACTAGAATAAACAGAATTTGTCCTAACTTGCTGTGGTAGAGAGTTCCAAGCTTCAATTGCAGTATAAGTAAAAGAGTTTTTCCCACTGCTTCCCACCCTCGGTTTAAAAATAGACATCTCACCTATTGTATTGAAACTATGGACTTCTGACGTTAACATGAAACCTTCTGTCATATACTGTGGGCCGAGATTATGTAATATTTTAAAAACCCGTATTTGACCTTCAGTTGCATTACCCTAAACTCTACAGGTACCCAATTTACAGCCTTGAACTCTCTAGCACCTATGTGTGTCTAGAACCTAGGTTGAGAACACATTAATAGCTATATTTTTGACACACTTGCAGCTTAGCCCTTGTGCGCTTTGTGAGACTGCTGTACCATATGCTGCTTGCATAGTCGAAGTGACATTGAATTAGGGCAGAAACTATAGTAATCTTTTACATGCCGTGTTGAAATACTTAGCTTTTCTGGAAAGAAATTTCAATCTATTGTTAATCTTTTTACAACCTAATATTCCCGTTATCTCACCACTCATGGTGTCTTCCAAGTCTATTCCTAGATACTTAACTGTATTTTTATGTGCAATTGCCACCCCATTACATCTGATGTCCAGTTTTGGATTATCCCTGAGTTTGTGTTTAGTTCCAAAAATAATACTTTCAGTTTTCCAAGATGCAAGGATAAATTATTACGTTGAGCCATTTATTATGGAATGCAATTCTCTACTTAATTCTTCCTGTATAGCCGGTAGCCTCTGTCCCTGTAACTACTATAAGGCCGAATCGTCAGCATATAATAAAAGCTTGACGTTAACTG